TCAGAGAAGGCTCCGGAGACATAGTGTGCTGTTATAGCTTGTATAGCTTCCTTGTTTTTGTTTTATGTGCTGACTTGTTATATATTGCCACATAGGGCCCATACACTCTAATGCTATAAACTAATACTTTTAATTACTACTATCTGATATGGGGGTCGTTGAAAGGCTAGAGATATTTAAGACTTTGCATATTACGCTCTTTTGATGGTGTTGACTTTTGACTAATGGACTCTATGACTTATATTAAAATGATTTATCAGTTCGTATGTTTGAAAGTATAAGTTTGATTTGGGCTAATGGTTGAATGATATTTCTGGACTTTGAAAGTCCAAGGCCCAAATTAATGATCGATGTTGCTCGTAATATAAGTTTATTTCTTTTAACTATGATAGTGATTTTAAAATTTTAAGGTTTCTCCTTTTTTATCATGGTTAATCATTTGAATAAATTGAAAATTTTGATCTAAATGAGTTTTAAAAGAACGGTTGTCACAAATACAGCTACATATGACTAGAGAATTTGGCATAATGAATATAAAGAACTTGACTTAAATATTGTCCTAAAACTTAATAATAAATCCTCCAAAATTTTCAAGTCTATACATATAACCCTAAATTATCATTTTAATGCTCCTTAAACTTTATTTTTTGCATGTATATAATCTCTTCAAACTTTGACTTATATGCAAACAAATTTCTTGAACTTTAAGGCATTTGCAAATAAATAATTAAAAACCTAATACTATGGGAGTTATTTGTTAAATTTAAAAATTTAGAGAGTTTTATCATAAAGTTTCAAAAGTTGGAGAATTTATTTACATATGACATAAAATTAAGGGAAATGTGGTATAAGTGAGCCTTCACTAATTATATTTACAATTATAAGAATCATAGGCACCTTTTCTTTTTCATTAATTCTACAAAAGCATTGTGGAATTATTGAATATTATAAATCTAATACTCCTCCGGTCCTAATTATAAGACCCAATTGACTTATTTGTGGAGATTAAGGAAGTAAGTTAAGTTGGTTATTTATAATAAATAAGTGTTGTCATTCCTAAAATATCCTTGCTAATTAAGTATATTGGCTAAAACTATCATTATTAGAAGGATTATCTTGGAAAAAAATGCATAAATATAAGAGACAAAATGGATTGGGTCTTATAATTAGGACCAAATAAAAAGTCAAATTGGGTCTTATAATAAGGACCGGAGGAGTAATATAAATTATGGTAAGTGTTTATAAGGAAAATGACAGTCTCAGTCCCTTAATATGCCAATTCTCCGCATTTAGGCGATGCTTTGCTGAAAAAGGAGAAAGTAGCCTATCAGAATGACCCTTCAGAGACTGCGTATTGAATTCCACACGTCAGTTTTAATAAATAATGATACCGTTTAATAAGTATTGAAAATAAAAGTTAAGTATTGAGATTGAGATTAAGAAAATAGCTTTTAGTATAAGAGATTGCTTATTACATGAGATTAGACAAATCTATGTACGTGGGATTGAAAAATACCACTGGTAGAAGTGATAATGAAGCCTATAAAAAAAATAAGAAATATTTTTAAGTTTAATTGTCCTTTAATTTTGGTATTGTAAGGACAAGGTTAGCTCAAGGATATGTACCTTTTTGGGTGACTAAAAAAATATGAAAGTCGCATCAATTTTTTTTTAAAATCTTGTTTAAATAAAAAAATTCTAAATGATTATTGAATTTTAAATTTTTAAATCAGGATTATTACAAAAATATGTTGTCATTTACTTTTTGAGTGTAGTCATTACCAATACTGATTTAGAATTTTAAAATTCAACAATCATTTTTTTTGGATTTTTTCTAAAAAGTAACTAACGTTAATTCTATGGCATCACCCTGATTTATATAATTATAATTTAGTTTTAAACAATTACTTGAATCAGTCAAAAAATAGAAAATTAAAAAATAATTTTAAGAAAAACAATAAGCAGAATGGAATTGGAAAAAAAACCAATTGGGAAATTACAATTCAACGGGAAAAGAAAATAAAAATTACGACGGAATTGACCCAATTAGGAACAAGATTAGCATTACCAGATGAGAGCTGCTGTGGGTCCAGGCATTAAGGTCCCGATGTGGCAGTTATCCACATGGCGTGATGTCATTGGTAGTTCAGTGGCGGTTTCAAACGGACGCGCAAAACGGTCACATTTTTTGAACGTTGGCGCCATTTCGAGAGATGAATAACGTGACCGTATAACTCAGAAACGAGAGGAAGTGCAAGGTCCGTTCAGCCTTGAGCGTTTCTTCTGTTCTGTCTTTAAAAAGGTGTTCCATGGTTTGGAGAAGCTAATTGCCAAGCACCCCCATTCTTTTTAAAACCCAGCTTTTAGAGAAAACTATAGTTTTGGCCAGTCAGACCATGGTTTTTGTATAAGCATCCCCATTTTCGCTTTTGAAGAGTTGGAGTCATCATTATTCGTGTCTGAGGCTCCAACAGTAAAAAACATCCAGTGCCATTTGAAACCAGTGCCTCTTCTCCCATTCTGCCTCTTCTCCAACAGTGAAATAATAATAGTTTTTTGTTGGCAAAATAAATCACTTTTCTAAAAACATATTTAATTATTTTATTAATATATATACACATTAATTTTTTATTATTTATATTATTTATGTCTTATTTATTATGTTGCCAAAATATATATTATTAACAAATTTATTACTTCAAATAAACATATATTATGAAATATATCTTATATGTAATTATCATTTAAACTTATAACCTTTTTAGTAATTTTTACATATAAAAAAGTATTTCTGACAACAACTATTTACTAAACACTCTCATTTTATCATAATCACTTTTTCAGAAAATCTATTATTTTAAAGTATATTTTTTAGAAGCTATTTTCTAAACCATGGTTTGGCTACATCCAAACACCCCTAAGTCCCACATTTCGTTTTCTCTTTTAGAATCTTTCTAATTTTTTAAATAGTATTGTTAATTCCTATATTTTTATGGAATTTTATTTTTTTTATAGTTTCAAATCGTTAGTTGTAGTCATTATAATTTGATGATTTTTTATTCAAGTTTAAGGAATGATCTTTATTTTTTAATAAATTTTGATTCTGATTCTCATATTTAAATTTAGACTAAAACCAATAAACTGGTTATTGAAATAGCAAATGGTCTCATTTTGTAAGAAAAAGAATATAAATTCAAATCTCGAAAAATATAACTTGTTCAAAGGGTTTTGACAAATTCAAAATGACTTAAAGATACTATAAGTTATAAAAAAAAAAATTCAGACTAAGTCCTTATAAAATTATAGAGACTGAAACCGATAGTTTAAAGTTACAAGATCACAACCAAAATTGGATCAATTTGTAAACACCAATAATAATATTGACTTTTTTTTTTGCCGGAGAATGTTACTAATGCATAAAAATGTTTTATTTTTCAGTTATTTAATACTAAAAACATTTTAAAAAATTATTTCTTGTTATCAAGTCAACCCATTCTCAATTAATTTTATTAAAAGATGTGAATAAAATAAAATCACGATTAATTCAACATAACTTTTAAACATTTGAAAGATAACAATCCTTATTAGGACAATATCCATAGAAAGGAGGCGCCATTACGTTACTAGTCTTTTTGAATTGTCATCCTCATTGCCGGCCCTCTCAAATTATTGTGCTGTTATTGGAATTAATTTTACTTTTTCAATGCAGAAAATGTAGTAGGTAGCTTTTTTTCTTGGTAACATGCCATCATCCTTTTTTCCAAACAAATAAAAAGGCATCTCTCACACACACTCACACACACACACACAGAGACACTTGCTTTAATATAACTTTATAATTTTCAATACCATCAGATTATATTCAAATTTCTATTTGCACATTCTCTTTCTCACTATTTCTCTATAAATAATGGTGTTCTTGAAAAATAAGTTATATTTTTACATATTTCTTGCATTTAACAAATTTTAATCAATTTTGTTGTCTACTATTTTATTAAAAAAAATAGTATACAACTGAAACTCTCAATCTCAAAACCAAGCCTTTTTTTTTTTGGGTTACAAAACCAAGCTTTTTGATGCAATGGAAAATAGAAATGCAGAAAATCACAGGGCCTTGCAGTACTTTAGGCAATGATATACGTTTGAAGCAAAAAAAGAATACAAGTCCCATGTGCCACCAATTAAAAGTCATTTGGCCATCAATAATGGTAATAACAATTTAAGTTGTTGGGTGAATTATTGTTCTTTGGAAGCAAGAATAGAAAAAGGATAAGAAAAATGTTACAAGTCAGTCTAAATTAAGTTATCACCATTAATTGAAAGCATTATAGCATGTTCTTTGTATTTGCAGGCACTATGAGCAGAAATGGGTTACGCCAACCTTGATTTTACTATAAGTGATCAGGATAAGTTTATAAGGCATTTCTATATTTGTACTGTATTTATTAAGCATATGATATGAGCACGTCGGATATAGTTTTTATTATTATCGCAATAAGTAAATGAGAATATTTCTCAAAATAAGGTATTGGATGTAAATGATTTTATACTGTGAACTTCCCTAATTTTCTAGGGCCTAAGAAAAGGGAGGAACAAAGTTTGTGCCAAAATTAACTACCCCTCCGGTCCTAAATATAATATCCTTATACATACTAGTATAAGAGTCTTATATTTAGGACCGGAGGAGTATAAACCTAAAATCATAATTATCTTAGAAGCTTAATATCAAGGGATTAAAATTTTTAAAAAATTGAAATAATTTTTTTTTTAAATATTATAGTTCTCTTTAATGACCAATGTTGGCCCAAAAAAAAAAACTCTTTAAAAATATTCTATAATATCTTTAATTAAAAAAATCCTGTAAAACTTAATAGTAACTTTAATTTTTGGAAACAATTATAATTTCTAATTTTCTGGAAAACAAAACTAAACAAGCTTATCAACCCATTAGCCAAATTGTTAGTTTAATGTATAATAAGTTCTCATGAATGGTCAGATTGTACACATGAACTATCATTGATGCATCCAGTTTAAGACATTACGCTGAGTGGAGGCAGAATATTTATGCAACAGATCTTTAATTCAAACCTCCTCTCCTTCATGTAATAAAACATCAAAATAACAATAATAATAACACAACCAAACACTAACTTCATGTTTATGACATAGATACTCATACTACATTATTATCTTTTCCTCTTCCCCTATCTTCATCCTGATGCCGCTGCCGGGGCTGGGGCGTGAGCCGGGGCTCCTGTCCTAAACCCGGAAACAGCAGACAACGGTGGATCTGCCACGCTTGTATCATTCAAGACAGGGAGTGGAGGAGCCGGAGGTGGAAGGTACGCCTGGCTAACTTGTTGCAAGAGACGGCCAGGTTCAATAGGGCTCATATATGGAGGAGTTTTGTCTCCAAGATTTAAACACAGGTTCTCTGCAACAAATTCATAAACTGTCATATCAGTAGCCATGACTAATGGCTTTCATACATAAACAGTTCAAGAGTTTAAATCCTAAACAATGCTGGAAGTAATCATGCACGAATTTGAACGGTGCACAACTTGTAGAACATAAACATAAAATATTAGTCTGTTGATTTTTCACCCCCATACCCTGTTATCTTTCGGCCCTTGGTATCTTATATGCTTGGTATGAGATTAGTAATTCAAATCTTCTACATTCAAAAAGATGAATGTATGGTGCATTTGGAAAAAGATAGGAAAAAGAAAAGGGAGGAAAAGATGATATGAAAATGCCTCTTGAAGATATGAATTTTCTAGAATTCTTGCTAAAGAAGCAAAGTTCTGTAAAGAAGTGTCAACTTACTTCTGTATCTATCAGCTGTCTTAGGGAAGTCGGTGATGATGCCATTAACTTTGGCTCCAATGACAAATGAATTTATCTCAACAAATGCATCTGAGTAGTAGTCCCATGCCTGAGATACAAACTCATTGCTGAAAGTTTCCACATAGACTGAGAGATTGAATGACTGTAGCTTTGATACAGTCTTTGTGGAGTTAACTAGAAAGGCCGAAACCTCTGGGAAAACCGAAAACTTTTTTACGACCACAGAGTCGGCAAATGTCTTGATGTCCTCTACAGTTGAATCGAGGGCATCGTAAATATTCTCTTTAATTTTGTATACCCTTTCATATTTGGGATTTTCCTTAAATTTCATCAGCACAGAGCCATGGGTGGACTGTATCATGACTTTTTGAGGCCCTGGTTTATCATATCCTGCTTTGTTCAAAGCATCATGGACTGCATCGATCACATTTAATCCCTGCCTCTCGGCAAGGTAGGCTGCATTCTATTATGAATAAACAAAACAAAAATGTCATTAATAAAATCACACAAGCAAATAATCACGGCATAAATGATTCATCCCATATTGATGGCGAATTGGCGATTAAAGTAATCATTCTCGATAACTGGGCAGAAATCACTTGCACTTCTGGTTTTTTTTCTGGCATGACTAATTCAGAGGAGTCAAGAATTAAATCACAGGGAATTCACATGATCATCTTCAAGAAGCATCTGTTAATATACAGAGAAATGAAAGTGCTTGGGCCCAAATAAAATTGAGGTTTATAAATCACCAGAAAGTGGACACAGATGCCAATAATTTTACTAATCAAAGAATCATGACGCCAAGGTTTTAAAAGCTTGGGTCACCCTGCAAAAAGTCTTTCATAAAGCTACTTATTATTTCTCTATACCACGTCATGTGGTGACCAACATAATCATAAGATACAGGTTGGAGAGTAATTACACAAGAACAGGTCCTAAAGAAACAAATTTGAAATCGGCAGTTGAAAAACTCACCTCGATGCTGACCAAGATGCCATATTTCGGATCTTTAGTCAAGGTCAAAAAATCAGATAATGTTACAAATGTCCCTGCATTTTTTGCTTTTGGGTTGCGGAACAGTGTGTATTTTGAATAAGGGTTCAACATTGAGGCTGCAACAAAAAACGAAGAATGAAGAAAATAGAAAAACGTTAGCGTTTACGGGGACAAATTTCATACATCTTTTACTAGTACTTTGTTATAGAAGCAAACATCACTACAATGCCAAAATATTACGAAGCTAAAATGGCTAATGGAAAGCAAATTATATGTTGATTATAATGGTCCTACTAGTAGCCTTCATAGAGGAAAAAGGTTTCATAATTAATTTGAAAATATTTCAAAGCTAGACCTGCCACTGACATAGAAGAAACTAAAAAATATATAAATTTTTATTCAGATCAATATTTCAATCTATGATATAAAGAATTAAGTTATTTTTCCTCTCTTGAAAGAATAATTTCTTCTGTGGATCCATTAGTTCCTTTTTTTTTCCCCCCATATATGTATCGTTGTATAGGACCTTGGCTGGTCAAGACTTCAAAGTAAAAATACTTCTAACAAACTTTTAAAAACAATGCCAAGTTCCCCAATTAATATCCAACAACGGAAGGAAATCAAGATAAGGATCGTAGATTTAAACAAATACATTAAACTTACGACGCAAGGTTTTTATCTCATCCCATGTCAAGCTGAAAGTAAATATGCCACTGCCAGTCTTGATCTCTGGAATAGTTGTTGCACGGCTGCTGAAACTGGTTTCAGCGGCTGTCGTGCTCTCTGTAAGGTCAATGGAGCTTAAACAAAACGGTATTCCATCCTTGGACATTTGAACAGGACAATCAAGTACATCCGCACCATCTGACATAGCTTTTTTATATGCCAAGTCAGTGCAGGGAGGATAGTCTCCACTTGCTCCGTATTTTGTGATGACCCATGTGTCCACTGTGAAGAAGCAGGAACAGGTCAACAAAAAGCAAAACTAGCTAGGGATATCAATTGAGAGCAAAACTAGCGAGATACCTTTCCTGGTTGCATTTTCCCCTATGCCAGAAAAGCAATCTGCAGTGCAAAAGAATTCAGAATATCAATTGGAATGTTCCTTGAAATTATAAACCATAAGTAATAGAGTATCATGTCCAAATAGACCATGGGTCACATTAAGGAGTCAACAGGAAAAGGAATAAGGGTGCTGAAGCCTTTATGGCTCAGTGGCACTCAACTCATGTAGATCATGGTCTTTCCTAACAAGCATTTCGCTTCCGAACTCAAAAAAAGGAAAAAAAAAAATGGGGGGCCACAAAAATCAGACATTATGTGGAAATGAAGTTTAGTTGGAAAATACATAAGAATCATGCATGAAAGTGCAGCAACAGGTCAATTTCTAGCCTTCAGCTACATGACAGGCATCTCAAAAATTTCTAAAAGGCCTTTTTTTCTCATTCAGAAGAAAGAAAACTTACTTATGGCTGCGGATGGAGTGGCAGGGAAGTCAGACAGCACACCATCAACAGAGGAGACATTGTTGTCTATGAAAGACAGGCACTCAGCTAGAGGATCATAACTGTAATTGTAGCTAAGTAAAAGATCATTTATAACGTTTGATACAAAAACTTGAAGCCCTTCTCTATGAGCATCTGCTACAACTGACGTGGACGGCTCTAGATAAAGGTTTGGATCTGTAGGCCATATGTAATCCTTGGGAACAAGAATTCCAGAAGCAAATGTCTTGACAAGCTTAAGATTTTTCAAGAGTGTACCATAAGTCTGATTAGTTGTAGGTTCAACCTCATTCTGATTTAGAAACCTGAAGATAATTCTTGTTGTTCTATAGCTTTTGCCTGACATAATTTCTCTCAAGAAGCCCACATCAGGTGAAGAGATGTAGCCGACAGATACTTGACGAGAAGATAGAGAATTTAAGAACCCATTTATACTCAAATTCCGTTCCTTGAAGAATGCATCATTCTGTATTGCATTTGAAAATATCAAAGTCAAATAATGTAGATACAAAGTCAGATTCTATCAAGCACTAGCTCTCTGGAATTTCCTTGAAACACAAGAAAGAAGCTCTGTGTTCGGGCAAGGAGCCTATTTTCAATCACTTACCTGAACATTCAACCACAAGCCCTGTGGCTTTGCTAATTTGGCTACATCTTCAACTGTGAGAATTCTAAATTTATTGCGGTCAAATCTATCAGTTCGAGAGTAGACTCCCTGAACAACTGACAAGTAAAAAGAGAATTGTCAAGGATAATAATCACATTTCATGACTCAAGCAGAGAAACAAATTCTTCCCTTGTGGGCAATTATCAAATGCAAGCACACAATTAACGAGTTTAGTACTTCAGAAATCATCTTTTTTTAAAACAAAAACATGACGATAATATATTACTCCAGCCCAAATGGTAAAATTCAAACTCATCCAACACTAAATGGGGCTTACGAGATACAGGTGCGAGCTCGCTCAAGTTGTAATCGACGGTGAACCAACCCCTCGTTGGAAACCCGTTAACATTGTAAACCCTAGTCTTGTTCAAGTAAACGTTGGCGATGTTAGTGGCATTGTTGAGCTTCAAGTCCGGAAAGCAAATTCCTGCTCCGTCCTTCGTCAATTGCAAATCGCACCACAGAACGACGTCCGATGCGCTTTTGTTTAGCGCTAATTCATATGCAGCGTCGCTCGAATCCGGAAATATACCTGAAAATCCTCCACGCGCCACCACCAGCGGCGGAGACCCTGCATCGCAAAGATTGTATCATCAAAATTGCATGATAACGTCTTCATGAGACCCGCCATTCTGCGACCAACTCCTTCAAAATAACGATAAATGTTATAACTGATTTATTATTTTCGATCCTTCCGATTATCTAAATGTGTCTTTAGATGTCGAAAGTACGTTCCTTGTTCGCTGATACACGAACTCAAGAGGCGAAGACTACAAAACAGTAAGGACCAAGAAGAAAGAATGGACAAAAATCCAAAATTTCTTATTTTCTCAGAGTCATGCGTGTGTTTGATGTTTGTATCAGCTTAACGTTATTTAATTTAAAAGGACGTTTTATTCTCAAACACAAATAACAATGACCATTCAATTAACGTGATATATAGTAAGACTCAAACGATAACCAAATCAAAATAGCTTTATTAAATTTGAAAAAATCTGATCAATTACTTCATCTTCAAAATTAGAAAGTTTGTGACTTTAATATCATCCATGCCTTGCCGAGATACCACCTCTAACATGCGATATTAAAAAAAGAAAAAGAACCTTAAAAATCGAACTCATTTTCTTATGGGCATGCACGTCTTTCTCTTGAAGCTTAGAAGAACGCAGGCCAAATAAATAAAACAATTAAAAAAACACATACCTTTCAATGTTTTCCAGGCAGGTCCAGAAGAAGAGACCAACGCTATCAGAGAATAAAGAATAAGCAGAGCAAGCAGGCGAGAGCGAGTCCTCAAGTTCCACCACATGGTACAATATTCAAAATCCTACCCAGAAAAAGTTTCCCTGGTGTTTTCCCGGGAAAAAGAATTGCGAGACAACTGACGAGTCAACGGCAGGAGAAAGTAGAACCAGAAGCTAGTCCTGTAAGGATGAAGTGAAGAAGCTGTCTGTTATATATAAACATAATATCAATCACAGCCATAGGATACCCCACCTTGGTCCCTTTCTTCCTCTGTTCATGTTCACGACTCTGTCTGGAGCCAGACAAGTCTTAAAGAATTGTCATTTTTGTGACTAGATAAGGCCCGTACTTTAATATATATGATCACGCGGTTTTGAAACTAAAATAGATTCAAATGTACGCCTTCAGTCTCACACAAAGCTGGCATTTTCAGTTCTTCAGCGATTGACGGAAAGAAATGAAGAAAAGGAAAATAGAAGAAACAAAAATGGAAAGACCATAGCGAGGCCGAGGAAGAAGACGAAGAGGTGAGAGAAAAACTTGTGATGGCTACAGCAAGCGAGTAGCGTAGCAAACATTTCTGCGTATTTATGTTCGCTTTAAATCATCACTGTAAAGTATAAAATATCATGTCAACGTCTTCTTCCGGGTAAAATACTGCTCTACTTATTATCTGTCACTTATTAAGGGTGTTTGGTACCCCAATAATCACTTTTCAGAGGTATTTTTTTTATAAATCGAGACAAACTCTTTTATATATTTATCTCGTATATTGTAAAAGTATTTTTAAAATTATAGTTTTGATCTTACCCAAACACCCCTTAAGTCTCTGAATTTGATGGTTTTTACTGGTAAGTTGTATTCTTTTTAATGTTTAGTTTTCATCTCTGTTCTTATTAATTATAGTAAAGGTGAAGAGAAGTATAATAAGTAAGAGAAAATATACTACTAACTTTAATTTAATAAGAATAAAAGTAAAAAAAATCTCATTTATTCAATAGTTTTTTTGGTACGTAAAAAACTCCAACAAGTGACAAATAATAAGCATTACAATGGCATATATATCAAAATTACTCCCAGAATTTTTACCAAAATTATGAAAACATTTAAAACGTATTAATTTTATCTAAAAATTAATAAAAATTTAATTTTGTCTTTATTCAACACTGAATTTTGAATTTGTCTTATTCTCTCATCTTTGAAAATATATAAGTTTGGATCCTGGGTTGATAATACTGGTATTATAATATAATACCATTAGAAGAGAGAAAATAGCGCCAAGAAACTGGATGAAGAATGAATAATACTTTATTTATTTATACATATTTCAATGTTTTTCTTACACATTAAATATAATTTTCTTATCTGCTTATGTTATTATTTATTTGTGCTATTACTTTTCTGCCATTTAATAAATAAGGTAGGTTCCACGAGAAGAAAAAGATGTACTCCTCCGGTCCTTATTATAAGACCCAATTTGACTTTTTATTTGGTCCTAATTATAAGACCCAATCCATTTTCTCTCTTATATTTATGCATTTTTTTCCAAGATAATCCTTCTAATAATGATAGTTTTAGCCAATATACTTAATTAGCAAGGATATTTTAGGAATGACAACACTTATTTATTATAAATAACCAACTTAACTTACTTCCTTAATCTCCTCAAATAAGTCAATTGGGTCTTATAATTAGGACCGGAGGAGTAGTAAGAGATTGCCACTTGGCTCAAATATGTCAAAACTTGACCCGCAAATAGTGCCGTCTAATTAAATTATTTTTTGCTCATCAAATATAATTTGATTTATAGTTTTTATTTTATTCCCATCATGACTTGGTATAATTAATTAATAATATAATTTGTAGTGATACATTTGTTTATAAAAAAATTAATTTTCAAGCTTGACTTGAATTTCGAAGTACCTGTCAAAGAGATTTGTCAGAATAATAGAAAAATTTTAACATTTTACTTTATTAAAATTACATGAATATCCCTTTTATTTCCAATAAATCCTTTAAAAGGAAAAGTGTACTGTCTACGAACTCAAAGATCATGTATGTATTATTTACCTAAAATTATCAGTCTCACTGTCTCAATGATACGAAAATAAGTAAAATTGGATTAAATAATTTTGGGCAACATTTTTAGATTAAATAATTTAAAATTATAAAATTTTGCAATGCCACTCAATAATTAATTTTTAAAAAGCTGTGTTATTTATAAGATATAGATAGCTTGTATGACTTTGTCTTTTTTTTAATATATATTTAATGCAAAATACATAAAAAATTGAGGAAATATTTTTGACAAAGTCAAATTGGCAGCATGTTGGCTGTCATGTTCTGACGTGGATGCACGTACATCCCATATAATTAACAAGCTTGGTCAATGGATATGCGTATTAAATATTTAAACCGGACATTTTTGTATTTTATATTTTTTAAATAAATAATTTATGAAAGGAAAAAGTAAAGTTCTGACTTATGAGGCTAAGAGTACTCCTTAGGTCCTATTTATAAACCAGAGATAAAAGATATTTGTTGGTCTTATTTGTAAAATACTAAGATAAATTTTTTATATAGATGTACAGTTTTACTATTAATTTATTATTGTGTTGATTTTGTTTACATGAAGTCTAATATATATTAAATAGGAATAAAGTTTAAAAAATCTTGAATTTTAAATGAGAGTTAACAAAGTTTTAAGATTTTTTTTATTTGCGTGAAACACATTAAAAGTGACTTATAAGTAAGATCAGTAATAGTTTTTAGTTGCCCTTTGATTTGTCCTCTTGTTGTAGGGGAGGCTTTTAACCTCACTTTTATTATTGTGTTTATGTAAATATATTGATATTATTAAATTAACATTGTTAGTATTTTAAAATAAAATAAAATATCTTTTATCAACCAAACATCACATATATATTCCAAAAAGTCTTAAACATGTTACTTCCTCTGATGATCTGATCTCCATTGTAAGCGCCTTCTATAGTACATTTATGATTCTCACAAGGAGTCACCTAAAAGATTTTTAATTAACATTTTTTTTAATTTTATCTCTGCTCCAGATTATTAAAAGAATTTAATTCTAATCCATATTTTATATGGCTCCTTTTTTTTTTTTGGCCAAAAAATATTTTATATGGCTCCTTGGAAACTGTTTTTTTCTCTTTGACGGGCAAAGTTGATGGTTTTTTTAATTTAATTTTAAGATTAGATTTAGCGAGTTAACTATTTTTTCTTAATTTTAAGGAGATGAAAATGACTTATAATGGAATCAGAGAGTAACTGAGATATATGATAAAAGTCATGCCATTTTGCTCGTATTCATTCATAATTAGAGAGAGAGAGAGAGTAAGATTTGGCATAATTCTATTATTTTCTCATACTTATTCTCTTTTTTTAATAAAAAACAATTTCATTCAACCATAAGTAAAAAGTTACATAAAAACACTCCAGGCTTTTACATAACCATGTAACTAATACCACATTCAGTTCTAATTATAAAACCCCGTTTATAGTCTACAAATCAATTTTTATAATTAGGACAAGGGGTAGTATCAGAGAAGAAACATTATTAATAAATTAAAAATTTGAAGCAATAAAACCCAAACTATAACAAAACACCAGATTTCTACAATGTTGCCGCGTGGTTCCATCAAGCGTTGAGAGATTAAATAGAAATGACAGTATATTGCTATATTAGAAGTTGACTGTGATTAATCCATTTAATTATGGAGTTTAGTAATCGGATTATGGTTGGATGATGGCCTTGTCGGCCAAAAAAATGGAAGATGGACCTAATTGTGCCGCCTCAAAATACGTGCTTAATGATCTTTACACTTTAGAAGGATTAGTTTCTAGTTAGCTATCGGCCGGAGAATACCACTTGATTTCTTTTTTTCAAAAAATAGTTGCTTAACTATGGTCTCATGAATAAACTAAAATTAAAAAAAAATCATAATGATGACGTTGGATGCTTTAATATCAAACATACAAAACCCCTATATTTTCTTAGCATTTGCTTATATTCTAATTTTAATTTAGATTTTAACAAGTGTAAAAGTGTGTGGCAAAAAAAAAATTGTAGAGTAGAGTCATGTTTGATAAGTCAAAATGTGACCCCAAAAAATAAAAAAACGAAAGAGATTTCATATTTTATTGAGTTAAAGTTGATCTAGTATTATGAAGTATTTCTATAGTCCAAAATATTTTGTGGTTGGTTTAACATTTTGAAATATTTTTTTAAGTACATCATTAGACACATAAATTATTTTAGATGCAGTATTTTCTAATATTTTTTCAGGTACATTCAGCATTTTAATAATTTATGAGTAAAATTACATCCTAAAATATTTAACACATTGGACGCACTTGAAAAAATATTTTAAAATAATAAATAAATCACAGAATATGTTAAGATATTAGACATACTTTAAAAAAATATATTAGGAATCTTATCACTATTTCGCTCTGTTTGGCTTGCAGAAACAATTTTCCGTGTTTAAGAACTGCTGGAATGGTTATGCTTGAGTGATTAGACTACTGGGTAAATATCACCGTATCCCTAAGAATTGTGATTTAGACACATTTCTGTAAATGAATTTCGATGCACATTTTGTCCTTCGCAAAGTCAAGCCATCGTCTTTATCTGCTTTTTCCGCTACTATGATTATTCCAGTCAATCCTCATCTTAATGCTTGGCAAATTGATCAGTAGGGGAATCCAAGAGGTCTGAGAATCCGATGTTTGATATGATCAAACCGTATGTGCTGTTATGCTTATGCTTATGCTTATGCTTATTATTATTATTATTACTAAAATATAGGTATCTTTCTATTGGAAGCAATTCCACTCAAGATATTATCGGGTACTAAATGTGGACACTCTTTTAATGGAGATTCAAATCTTAGTTCGTCACATTATGAGGAACTAACCCCTTATACTAAACTCAACTTTATTGGATGCTATTATGCTCGTTACAAATTCGAAACTAAAATAAAAATGCGGCCCAAAAGTCCATCACGGTGCATCGAGCCTAAGCCCATGGTTAAAGGTCCAAATAGATAACGTGAGAAAACAAAGCCAGCTTTTCTTCGGTGTTTTCCCAGATGACTGAAAGTCTGAAACCTTTTGGCGGAATCATAGTAATTAGTAACCCTTCTTTGAAGCTTGTAGGCTCCTTCATAATGGGATTTTCAACATGGGGTTCGTTAGGTTCTCATGTTGTGGTGGGAGGCTCTCGATTTCATCAAAGACGAATCAAGTTTCAGTCTTTCAGTACAACAGAGCAGAACACTCTTAATTTCAAGTTCCCAAAGCGGAGGCTTACTCAAGTGGGGGTTTCTCTGAGTAAACAAGAGTCAATTGAATTTGATGAGAGGAAAAGCCCAGATGAGGTGAACTGTAATATCTACTTCCTTGACGCAAATGTTACTGTTGTAGCATTGCTTTTGCCGATATATTTTCATGTACTGTTTTGTTAAGGGTGAACAACCTATTTCTCTGCTCTAGAAGTAGCTACATCGTAATAGACTGTGGGATATACTTCAGTTAATTATTTTTCGTCTAAATCAGCAATTTGATTATTGGGTTGTTAGACATATTTTGCTTCTAATCCAGAAAACTGGTGAGTGAATGGCTTGAGCCAGTAAACAACAAAATCGTTGCTTGTTAGTCCTTACAGTGGGTCAGTCTGATGTGTTTCCATGTGTGCTACCTGTAGCTCATTGAGTAATTTTTGGAGACCAAAAATAAATAGACTCTGATAATCCAAGGAACAAATTTTTAGTTAATATGTTTTTCCTTATTTGCTCACTGTTTAATATGTAAATCGAGGAAGTGTTCTATTGGGTAACATTTTGCAATCGCATGCCATTGCTTAGGATCTTCATTTTGTTGTTTTGGGCTTTAGGTCTAGGGAGGGGGAAGTTATAGGGAGTCTGAGACACCAAAAGGAGGTAATTATGAGTGAGTTTGTTTATGACTGCTTGACAGTTATCACCTGCTCATATTGGGTCTGAATGCTACAATAATACTAATATTCTTATGCAAAATAATGACATAATATGAGGACAGGAATGGCAGTATCATGTTCTTCAATGTAAACACAATTATGGACCAAATATAATAATGGGTTCATTGTAGTTGATGCCTAGCACCTACTAATTTGCTGCTGGTTCGTGTTCGGATTCTGACATCTTTTCTCATTTTTAGTTCTATTATTCCACATGGTGCCTTTTAATGTCATGGTTAAATGGTCTTGGATAATCATATTTGAGCCAGACAATCAGTAAACTATGATGGAACTGTCTATGATGAAACGTATTGCATGACTGTGTGTATAGATGTGGTTGGAAACTGGAACGATGTTGTAGAATCTCCAGAAAAGTATTTTAGGATAATGCTCATGGATGTTCCACTAATGGCCAGCATGTGCCTTCTTCTCTATTTATATCAAGAATTTGTGGAAAATTTGCGGTTAAACTGAAAATCCAGAAAATTGACACTCACTCTGGTCTTGGAATTTGAAAGGTTAAAGAGGAGATCAAACGATGTTATGACCTCATAAACAGACAAGGGAGAGGAGTTGTGTATCTGGGTTCTTCAAGGATGGGGCCCAGTCATTCACATTACATGCGAGCACAAGAGCTGGCTAAAGAGGCAAGTATATTCTTCCTATAGCTTCCTTCCAATTTGAGGGGATTAGAAAATTTAATAGGATTGGCCTTTGTTGTCTTTTTTAGGAAACTTTATAGGGTTTGATAGAGTATACCATTTGAGCTTCAATAAGAATCCTCTGCAGTCACAAAAAGTCGGAAAGAGATAAAAACAAAGGAAAGAGTGAGTGTAAAGAGAGAAAACGAATCAAACATATAGTTTCCATTCTTTTGTATCACTCTCTCTCAATGTACAACTGCATGATTTTAAAGTATCAAATTTGAGCTTCTTTCCTGTTCTCTTGCACGCTTGTTTGTGGTGATATAAGCATGAAGACTATAAAAGATATAAGGCCTTATTCCTTTTTTTTGTAAACAACATTCTTACTGTCTCTAAAAGTACAATAATCATAGTGACTGGATCTCCAGCAGCTGTTGCTATGAGTCTTGTTTACATACATGTCTTCACAGATAGCAAATCTTTTAGACTGCACTTCATGGTCTGGAGCTGGACCAGGGCTAATGGATGCTGTCACTCAAGGTGCTATGCAAGCAGGAAAACCAGTCGGTGGACTCAAGATTGGAAGGGAGCCAGGGGAGTCGACAAGCTCCAATGTCCATCCTTATTTACCTTCCGAAACCTACTTCACTTGCAGGCAACTTACCACCATTCCTTGATTGCTTAGTTCTAGTTTGGCAGTGCTTTCAATAAAACATTTTCTGAAACAATGAAACTTGGGTAAAGTTCCTTAAGAACTTGCCATTAGGTTCTTCAATAAAATTGTAACACGTGGAAGAAAAATTTGAAAAACATGTATTCACGTGATGTTGAGCTGGAAATAATATGAATTTGTCTTTTTCTTATTGACTAACTTGTTACTAACACTTGCAAAATACATCAAAGTGTTTTGTCCTTCTCAAAAAGTGCCATAACAAAAAGGCATTTTGGGTGAGTACCTCTAGCAATACCCCGAATGCTTAGCTAATCTTTCAGAAAGGTACTTTTATTGTTAAATTGCCTTAAAAAATGATATATCTAGAAATAGCATAATGTTGGATGATATTTTCGTAGTAAGGGTTTTTCTTTTGAAGAAAAAGACATTTTGCTTTTGATCTTGCTTCTAGATATTCCCAACTTCCTTCTACCATTTAAAAACTGATTCATGCATTGACAAAAGACATACTAGTCTTGTCCACATCTATGCCAAATTTCCATAGATTTTAGACTGATTTTACTTTTTCAGGTTTTTCTCAGCAAGGAAACATGGACTGGTGGATGCTGCAGTGAGGAACAAGTCATCTGATAAGACTGCCTTTGTTGCTCTTCCTGGTGGTGTTGGCACTCTAGATGAGATGTTTGAGATTATGGGGTTAATACAGCTTGAACGGATTGGATCAAAGCTTCCCATTCCCTTCATCTTGATGAACTACGATTCGTTCTATTCAAAGCTGCTTGACTTTCTGGATTCTTGTGAGGATTGGGGCACTGTCTACAAAGGAGAGGTTGCATCCCTGTGGAAGGTTTGTGAAAGCAACTCACAGGCTTTGGCTTACCTTGCTGAGTTCTATAACATCTCTTGCAATGATCCAAGGAAGAAAGAAACCGCATTGGAAAGCATCTAGATAGGGAATGTCTTTTCCCTTCTATTTTTAAGCATCAAATAATTTCTTTCATGAAAAAGCTCAATTGTAGAATGTTTAATAAACTGTTCGTTTGGATGGAAGATAACGTAAGGGAAAGAGGGGTTATATTGAGAGCTTTTCCTTTCAGGGGAGACCTTAACGTGGGGGATGGATCCTGAGAATTGTGACCCCCCCACCCCCCAAAAAAAAACCAAAATAAAAAGCAGTGCCTCTGGCCAAGGAGGTGGAAACTTACCAGTAAATAATAAATTTCCTGTTCAATTATCTTGTTATGCATATTGTTTTCTTTCCAAGTCGTTTCCTTTCAACTCCCAAATATACTCTTAAACAAGGATAAGGGATGGGAATCTAATTGAAATCAGTGTTGTTAACTCAGTGAGGAAGGTACTTGGGTTCTCAGAAAAACCAAAGGATTTTGCAGTGTAATTTTTTGGGATTTGGCCCATTGAAAATTGTTTTTAAAATTGTCATAATAACGTCCAAGATATCCTTAACCAATATTTGTTTTTGTAAAAAAACGACGCGTCCAATTAATGTACAAATTGGCTCAAAAGTAGTGCTTGTACGTACCAGCTGAACCATAACAGCCTGATATTAAACAAGAAATGTCCAAGTCTCCTCCACAAGCTTCGGGGAGAGAAATGCGGGAGATTAAACTAAGCTACCAAAATCTGACATATACAATCCAGAACAAAAGCGTACTCTGTGCAAGAGATCCACGTGATGCAACAAGCAAGATGTGTTATGCATATAAAATTGGAAAAACTTGACAAGCTTAAGTAGCGGTTGTAATAAGCTGCTTCCAGGCTAGAACACTCAGATCGATATCACATTGTAACAAACAATAATTGACAAGACGGAATCATCCAAGTTTCAAACTCATAAGCAAAGTTTTCCCTCGATCGTTAAGCCACTAGGTATGGCGGATGTTTGGCCTGAAGACTATATAACACGGTCTGATATCTTGCATTGAAGGCATCAACGAAACAGCCCTGCTAAGCTTCAGTTGTTTCAAATAATTTTTCAACATCAGCGATGGTGCTACGAGCTTCATCAATTTCAGGGCCTTCCTTCTCGTTTGACTCCTCCATCTCCGCCTGAAATTGAAGCAAACATTCTAAAATAAAATAGTGGCACCGGACAAGAGTCCATTTTCCCGCACATCCCAGACTCAACTCCCGGTATTGTTATACTTAAAGCAGGGAGAGATTCGATAAGACAAACAGGTTTATGGTTTAGCATACTAAAACACAATATGCTTTGTTTATGTAAAACTTGAGAAGGGCAAAGTCACGAAAATGATTATGTTTTAGCATTCTTCAACGGAATATGATTCGTTGCTGGTTGCCCTCAAGTTGTCAACGTTTTCATATGTAACTATCCCTAGAATCAGCGGTAATCTAGCCATATTTCTATACCAATAGCGTGCTTATAATCATATAAAATCAACAAAGGGGTAATACTCTCTAATCAAAGTTGTAGGGTCAGCTAACTGATTTGTTAATAATGCCAAGTCATCAAAAGTTCAGACTTCAAAGTATTGATTTTGTAGAAAATTTTATGACATGACATCAGACAACATAGAAAACTAAGACATAAGAAAAGCAAGAATAGAGTACCACTATTCCTTTTAAGTCTGCTAGTGCAGCCTCTAGGCGATTGCGGCAGTCAGGTATCATCATCCTCGATTCAGCCAGTACATTTTCCTGTTCAAATGATATCAACAAAAGATACAACTAATTTACAAGGGAAGCATATGAAAGGCACACTCAAAGATTAATAATTTAATATCCTATTTATTTATTTTTTTAAAAAAAGTGATGCTCCAATTCAAGCATAATGCAATTGCAAAGACACAGTCCCTATCATGCTTACTTAGCTCTTATTACAGCCCAAGTAAAATATTGAGAATTCCATCTCACAGATCAAGATGCTGAGAATATCAATTTCTGCCTCTAAGCGTCTTTCACTTTTTCGTTATTTATTTTTGTTAGGAAGTGGGGAAGAGAGGATCATAAAAAGAGTTCAGATTAAGACAATGCTGAAGTTGCCCTTATTTGGTCCATGTGTTGATAGAGAATAGACCTTGGTATATGAGAAAGTGGGGAGGGGAGGAACATACAGAAGTGGAGATTAAGACAGTGCTGAAGCTGCCTTTGAATGAACTTACACCAAGCAAGACAGGATTTCTCCCAGTGTAACAAGTGCCAGTTGATGTGACAAAATTGCTACACTTGACCTACCTCTTTTGTTCAGAAAACACTTGATAATTTCAGGATAAAATATTAACATTTTGTGCTTCAGTTTAATTTCAAAGGTACTGGTTCGAAGCCAAAGGCTACAGGACTTAGATTTCAAAGAGAAAAGGTTACATTGACAAGCAGATATTTCAGCCTCATATTAGATTACCAATTACACCATTCACTGAATATTGCAAGAATATGGTACGGCATGAACACTGAGGAGCTCCACACTGCATCTGGACGGATGGGGGAAGGCATAGTCTTACCTGCTGCTTAAGGTCATAGATGTCAGCTCCTTTCTCCTTCATGTCGGCTGTTTTGGCAGCTTCTCTCTCAACTTCTTTCTCATACGAATGAAGCTCCTTCACAATGCGTTTGCAGGTACTCGTCTTAATCTTCAGACTTCTTATGGTCGCCATAGAATCCTGCAAGAGAAGGGAAAAACACTCGCATCTAGAATTCGTTTCTACAACAAAATCAATGACCAGTGAGTTTAGTAATGAAAAGCAAGATACATTGTTTTGTAGAATTATTTTATCGCAGCCTTCTCACTCATTAAACTTATAATCAAAGCTCAAGGTCTTTAATTTTACAAAAATCATGACAGTTCAATAATTAGTCACCAAACACAGTAATCCAACCCATCATTCGAATAGTTCCTCCAAGAAAAATAGTTGCGTTGGGAAAAATAAAATGGAAAGGCAATACCCAGGCGAGAGATAAGATCTTACTGCGGAATGCGAGCGATGTGTGAAATTTCGACCGGCGCCTAGGCTCCGTCTCGTTGCTGGATTTCTGCTGCTCGCAGAATGCAGTGCCCTAGCAGCCGGAGAAGAGGAAGCAGCAGATCCGGTCTCTCTGACTTCAACGCACCGTTTCATACCATGGAATTTTATTTCCGCCCATTATTTCTTCCGAATTTTATGTTTATTTAAGAAAATCATATGTTTTAATTTGATTGAAAATAAGTACCTTAAATTTTTGGCCAAAAAATAATTATAAGTACCTTAAATATATAAAGCCAAGGATACCTTCTCTCTCTCATTCAAAATACTTTTCCTTGATACAAGACATCCTTTGTAAATATTTTCTTAATGACTTCCTCTCTTGAACCTATTATTTGTTGTAAACAATAGATAAACAAATAAATTAAAATATTATATTATATTATTATAAATAAATTGATTGTATTATGTTTATTATTTTATTTATTGATGTAATTATTATCATATTTTTAGTTTCATTTGACTTCGAAATTTTTTTAAAAATGAATAGGAGTTGAATATGATCTGAAAGTACAAAAACAAGATGGGAGTTGAGCTTAACCCAAAAGATTAATCCTTATATTTCAAACAGAATTACTTTTGACAAGGAGATTTCAATTTTTTTTCTAAATAAAGAAAAGGAAAGAAAGTGGTAAAGGACAATAATGTATTTTCAACCTAATTCAAGCTCAACAAACATTAGTGCTCACCATGTGTGTGTGGGGCTAAAGCTATCACTCATGATTTGATTTACAGGGTGCAACTATGGACATCCAGCAAAGCTCGTGGTACGGCTAAAATAGAGATTGAAGAAGTGAAGGAAAACTGATTTAATTAATAAATATTAAAATATATGACATTATGACTCAATATATATATATATATATATATATATATAAAGCTTTTGCCTTTGCTTATATAAGACACAAAAGGAACTAATACTGTTATGTGATGTTTCTGTAGTTTCTGCTCTCAACGTCCAAATTAGGAAGCTTCATTTCTGGTAAATGACTCAGTCTTTTAAGGTATATATGTCTCCTATGTCCACGCATACATATATTAAAACGTTAATTGAAATCGATTGAATACAATAAATATATAAAAAAAATTAACTTTTTTTTTTCAAGAATATTCTTATTTATGAAGGAAAAAATAAGTGAGAGGAGGAGGGTGAACAAGAGGTGCATGAAAGAGAGAGAATGTTTGGCGAAAGAGAGAGAAAATTAATATGGTAATACTAACGAATAATTAATTAAAAAAATGAAAAATGATACTACCTTGAGTTCTAAATATGAGATCTAATTTGGAGTACAATGTGCACTATAAACTAAACCTTATATTTAAGAATATAAGTAGTACTAAAAATTTTAAACATGTCATAAGTATCTCTCATGTATGGGATGGAATTGAAGAAAGTATATTAATTGCTTAGCTATATTTTGACCGCTGTAGTTAAAAAAAAAAAAGAAGACAATATGACATTTGATTATTTTAATGTGTTTTTCACGCCATAATCACATTATATATTACATTAAGAAAAGAACTAAATGATTTGTTATAAATTTTATATTTTTATTGATGACCCCAATTCAATGCAAGTTTCAAAAATGGGTGTAAAGTTGCCATGCTTGTTTAATTTTTCTTTTTCATGATACAAACCTTTTATTTGTAAGACTATAATTCCTTTTAGATGAATTTTTATTTTTTATTATGTATAATCCTATATGAACACATACATTTGAAGGTCTGAGCTACTATTTAAGGCCATACATAGCTGGCAAGGGGAGAAAAAGACCATACATAATCATATATAGAGTCACTATAAGGTGTGTTTTATAATACTTTTCTCATCCTTAATATAAGACATAATTAGAGAGTTAATATTAGTAATATATATGACCTATTTCATATATTTATCATTTTTTTTAAATTAACCCTATTAATATTTCCTTACAATAGTCAAATAGGAAAGAAAGAAAGAGATTAGGGAAGATGCTTAGGTTATTTTAAAAGAAATGTATCATATTAATTAATTCAACTAATATCCTTAATTTACTCAAATTAATTAATTAAGTCTTATATTAAGAATCAGACGAGTAGAAGATTATATATACAAAAAAAAATGGAGACATAACTACCAAAACAAAAAGTGCCAAAGAACTTTTACCCCAAATAAAAAAAGGGTATCCTATAACCCTAAAGATACTGAGCAATAAAAATCTTCTTTGGTGTATGGATCCCACAGCATATCATATGCTACATTCCCTAGATGTTGGGCAATAATTGTACGCCCAAATGTACCCAAAAAAAAAAAGGTTCAATTATGGTGGGGTCTTGGGTGTCTCTCTATTCATCTCAACGTTCCACTACTTCAACGATTCTCCAACAACATATTTGAAAGTGTATTTCCCCCTTTTGAAAATCACGTCTTACTCCTATAGGTACAAGAAGCAATGATTTCACACATCCAAAATATAATTAATTTTTATATTTGAGATAACTGTAGAGGAAGGTATATTAAATTCAATTAGCTTTTGCATTCTCCATGAGAAAGGGATATCAAATAATCACTCATGATTAACTCATGCCTACATGGATTTTTTTCCCCAAAAAAACCAATGAAAGAAAAGGACTATCCAATTATAATTGGATTATACATAAACAGAGATAACTCTCCTAGCATGGTTTCATCTACAGAATTTAAAACAATGATTTTACTCGAGTACATTTTACCAATGCATGCTGGCATGGTTAGGTGGAATTTGATTAGAAATTCAAGGCCAATAAATAAAACCGTAGTGACACAAGAAAGATCATGATGCATATGGGTTATCAATGGCATTGCTATCTCCCACTTATAGAAAAGTAAAGAGTGTTTGGATAGAAACCAGGTTAAAATTTTAAAAGTAATTTTACGATATACGAAATAAGCATGTGAAAAGAGTTTTGTCTTATTTGCGTGAAAACACTTCTAAAAAATGCTTCCTGAGAGGTTTCCAAACACCCCCTAGCTTTCCTGTAAATGGGAAATTGCAAGTTCAATCCTGCTCAGACTGTTTGTAACTACCTGACTACCTCTCTCATTCAAAACAGAAGAAGCATCATCTGGGATTAACATGAAAGAAGCATGCTTGTGTGAGTACAATATTTATCCATATCACCTTAAAATCTTGAAGTACACAGGCAGAAACCACACTGCAAGATACTTGCATCACTATATTTCAATGCTATTATCATCATTTTTGGTTCTAAACTCGACAGTTACCTGTCAGCAATTTTCTTAATCATTTATGCCAAAAAGCTCAGCAGAAAACTATGCTTTTAATGACGAAATTAGGAAGCTTCATTTCTGCTAATGACTCAGTCTCTTCATGTACAAGTCTACATAGCTCAAAGTACCAAAGAAGAAACCACAACAGAATACTAGATAATACATTATTATGTTTTTCTATCACTCATATCAGGTTTGGTTCTGTAATCTAAATCATTAGTCACCTGCCAGTATCTTCTTCAACCAGTTAAGCAACAACACTTCAGGTATTATTCTTAAGATCTTTGTGATATGTTCTCCAATAAAAATATGACATGTCATGTCTTTTGTAAGATCAGTATTACCTGAGACATTTCAGAAAGTTCTTTTACATGTCATATTTTTATTGAATGATCTCATGGCAAACACCTAAAGAACTTCACTAAGTTTACTCATTGAACATAAGCTCAGAAGAAAGCTCTACTCCCATAAAACACGCGGGAGCTACTATTCTGCTCTGAGGTCGAGTTTCCTGAACTGGTTGGTCCATTTTCAACGTCTATATTAGGAAACTTCATCTTCGCCAGGGACTCATTGACTTGCTGCATGCTCTTCATGTACATGTCTACTATGTCCTGCTGCACCACCTTTGGTTCTGGCTCAATCTTCATAGTCACAACAGGCTTTGAAACTGAATCATTTGGCACACCATTTGAGGCATCACTCTCACCATCTTTGTGTTCCACAGTTTTCTTCTCTTTGGTTCCTGAGACTTGTTCAAGCTCAGATGAATCTGAGGTTGCAGGCACTGAAGGAGTAGATGAGGAAACCCCATTTGTTGACACGCTGCTCTTTGGGGAATCAACAGTTTTATGAGGTTGGGCAGACTCAACACTGCATGCTGAGAAGCTCTCTACAAGCTGAACACCTGCTTCTTCAGAGCTATGGCTTTCAGCAGCATCAGAAGAGGTAGTAAAGCTCTCCTCACATGGAATGCCAAAGTATTCTGAAACCATCCGGTGGTCTTCTTTCGCTATTTCTGGGTCCGGGAACTCAATCTTTTCCAAGTCTTTGGCCAGAGACTGACAAGTTTCCGAGTCCCTCTGAGCAACTTCTTCAGCTGGAGCCACCATAACATCAGGTGAAGCTCCAGTGTATCCCAGAGACATGTGAACAAAGCCTGCTGGTGAATGAAACAGGTCAGTTGAAGAAAGAGAGAACTCCTTTTCTAGCGTCCCACCATTCTTGACAAGCACTTCAGACAAAGGCACCAAAGCAAAACCAAGAAGCTGGTCTTCTAGATAGTTCTTCACCCTGCTTAACATCCATATCTCACATTTGAGAGAAGACTCCACAGTTCTGACGTTCAGAGAAAGGTTCTCATTAAACACAGGGTTTCTTCCGCCGCCATTGATGATCTTGGTGGATGCCGTGTTCTCAGGATTGCTAGTGAGGCAAATCTTGGCATAAACATCTTGCTTGTGGTATATGCAGATGTTGTGGATGTCCCTAGCTTGATGTATGTAAACCTCAAGAACACCGATGAAGTTGTCTTCTACATTAGACATAACAGCTTCCTTCCCATTGACCTCAATGTCCTTAGACAAGACAGAGCTCTTGAAAGGTGACACCACAGATTGCGGAGATTCCATATCACAGAAGGATAACTAGAAGAAAATCAAGTAACCCTAAGTTAAAGACAGGCTTTAGCCCAGACAAAAGCCACAGACAATTCTTAACACTTACAGTTACACACCAGCACTAAAAGACTGTAATTAAAACAAAAGTAGCTGGCTAGAACTAAAAATTTAAAGATTCAGTACTTGGT